GGCCAGGCCGGGCCGGGCCGGGCCGGGGCGCGGGCGCAGGGTCCGGGCAGCGCAGGCTGCGCGCCGCGCTGCGCACATGCGCGCTCCCGCCCCTCCTACCTTTGACAGTTTGATGCGGGGGAGGGGGCGAACTCTCGCGGTATTCCTGCAGCAGCCCGCAGCGAGGAGGGGACCGTGGGCCCTGCGGGCGAAGCCCGGCTCCAGGACCCGCCTCCGGAGTCCGTCTGGCCTTTAGGGCCAAGGGACGGTCGTGCTATCCTCGGGGCGAGGGGTTTTGTGGACAGCGGGGTAAACTGAGGCAAAGGCGCCGGACCCTGTCCAGAGCCCTGCGCACACGAATGAGGCAACCCCATGCCACCCTGTGCTGGTCGGGGAGTTGCGGAGGGAGGCCTATGTGCTGTAGAACCTAAATGCCCCCTCTGCTGCCCCCCAGGACAAGCAGGGAAGGACTGGACCTCCCTCCAATTGGCCCTGTGGCCACCTTTGTCACTCTGGCCTCTGTCTAAACCCTGGAACATTTTGGGGACCACTGACCATTGGATCGACCCCAGCTTGAGCCGTAGACCAGCAACCAGGACATGGTTCCCTGCAGCAGAACCTGTTGGTCTCAGGTCTGCCAGTGGCATGCAGCTCCACCCTATAAAGTTTAGGAATGAATGAAGGACAAGAAAACAGTGAATCGTGGTGGGATTGTGGAGCACCAAGTACTGGCTGGAGAGGAGGTAGAGAATGCCTGGAGTCCCTACAGAAGGCAGGCAAGGGGTGTCAGCTTCCACTAAAGAGATCTGTGCTCAGCTGCTCAGCGCACCCCATCTTCCCATCTTGAGAGTGGAGACCTTGAGTTTTATTTTGTGCCTACAATATTGTCGAGCTTTTTTTTTAAACCATGTGCAATAAATCTGGCTTTTAAATGTCTTTTAATGTTTCTTTTTATATTCCATAAACACTGTGGACTTCTCAGAATTGGTGTGGGTTAGAAACTGCTAGGCGGGAAATGGGAGTTACAAGGTGCATCTCTTGCCCTGGGCCCGTCCTGGCTGAGACCTCCTCTCCTGCACCTCTTGGGCAGGCTCCTCCGCACTGCCTGAAGGCAGGGCAGAGAAGGTGTTGGCAGGTTTGGGGTCCACCTCTTCTCAATGGGATCTTGGGATCTGTTCTGCTCAAGGACTGCATAGATGCTCACCTGAGACAGAGGTGTTGAGCCCTCTGTGGAGGGGTCCATTGGTTCCTTCTTTAGAAATCTGAGCTAGAGAGGCCAGTGTGCATCCACTCCACCCAAGTGACCCCAGGAAGGGGAGGGAGTTGCTAAAGCCAGGGGGGCATCCTTCCCCCTCTTTTTGACCATTCCCACCCTGGGCACAGGACCAGCAGGGTGTTGAGGGGTCAGTGTCTGTTTCCCTGAAGTGCACCCAAGGTTGTCAGCTCTCCACAGGTTGGAAATGTCAATTTTTGTAGACAGTTAAGTGTCTAAGTGATGTGTCTAGCAGCATCCACATTTGGACAAACCAGTGTCATGGCATATCTGAGTCCCATACTGAGTAAGATCAGTGCTTGCTTGTATGTTACTATCCAGGTGACTGAACAGCAGAATACATGGGGGGAGTAATCTAGATCATAGCATGTGTGTCTAGGCTGTGGTATGTGTCTATGTAAATACCTGTGTTAGGATGTAAGGGACCAATTGTTTTCTGTGTGTACCCATATGTCATAGTGTTGTATAATGAGTTTGTGTGTACTGTTGGTGTGCTGTGTCCTGAGTGTTTCTGTATGTTGAGGGGGTCATTATTGTACTACAACAGTATTTCTGTTACATACTTTTGTGGGTATTGGGCTTATATGCCTGACCAAATACATGGGTGGGTATTGGGTACTGGGTATTTTGTGGGTATTGGGCTTACATGCCTGACCAAATAAGTGTTTTTGTTTGTGCTGGGACATGCTGGGTCTGATTGTCAGTGTCAGTGTGTTTCTGTGTTAGTGTTTGATGCCCTATTTGTATATCTGGTTGCTGTGTGTGGTGTGTCAGTGTGTGCTGTGGTCTGTGCGCCATTTATATCGGAGTACTGCCCTATGTGGGAGGCCAGTGAGTCCTAAGGGATGACCAAGTCAATTCCCTGAACCTGTAAAGGGGAAGTACTTTGTAAAAAGACTCTTTGCAGGTGTGATTAAGGCTCCTGATCATCCTGGATTACCCTGATCTAGGCCATAGATGCAGGCATCCTTATACAGAAGAGATAGGGAGATTTAACAGAGGAGTGATGTGATGCAGAGACAAAGTGCATAGTGTATCCACCTTGCTACCACAGCTGGAAGAGGCAAGGACTTCCTCTCATCTCCATGGGATGGTGGTCCTGCTGGATTTCAGACTTTGACCTCTAGAATGGAATCACCTCCTTCCTTCTTTCCTTTGACCCTACCTTTCTCTTTCTTTCGTGCTGCTGATTGAACCCAGGGCCTCACCACATGCCAAGCATGCAGTCTAGGGGCCTGGGATTTAGCTCAGTGGTTCCAGTGCCTGCCTCAAAAGCGCAAGGTCCCGAGTTTGATCCCCGGTACCAAAAAACAAAAACAAAAACAAAAGAATCAGACCCTCCCAAGCATGCACTCTACTACTGAGCTATATCCTCAGCCCCTGAATCAGTTTCTATTGTTTGAAGCCACCAGTTTGTGGCCTTTTGTTAGAGCAGCCCCAGGAACCTCCTACATCACGTGTCTGGGCTGTTGCTTCCAGCGTGTCATACGTGTTCTGTCCATTGCTGGGGTGCCATTCATGTGGCCTAGTTGAGGTCCCTCGGTGCCCTAGGGTAACAGCAGCCCCTTCAGGACAGGACACCACTGCCCCCTGGTGGTCCCAGGGGCACCCCCAGACCCAGCACTGTGGGCACTTGAGAACCAGGTTTATTTCTTATTTTTTTGTCAGAGTATAAAAAAGTGAATGAAAAACAAGGAAGACAGGACAGGAGTACAGGATGGGCAAGACAGAGGAGGGAGAAAGGGGCCAAGATGGGCCCTCTGGCTGAAGGCTGATGTACAGAGAGGGGATCGTCAGGCAGCCAGGTACAAGAGGCGGGTTCCCCATGGGTAGGGGCACAAAGGATGGGACACGCCAGGCAAGTTGTCCAAATTTCACTTGGAACCTACAATGACTGAGCTGGAGAACTGGGGACTGCAGGCTCATCCTTACTTGTCCCTGAGACTTCCAGAGTCCCCAGGGGGGTGGGAGAGGCAGAGGAGCAAGACGATGGTGGGGACTTCCAGGGTTACACTCACAGTCCCTCTTCTGGTAGTACCAGTTCCCAACCTCCCAGGGAGGGCTGCGCAGGCATGGGGTGGTAGACATGGTGTAGCCCCCTGTACAGTTTCTCCTGTGAATCCAGGGTTTTGGGAAAGGGGTAAGGGGAATACCCACATGCACTAATGCTACTTGAAAGTTAAGTCCAAGAGCCAGGGAATATAGAAGATGCTTAAAAGAGACTCTCTTGTAGACAAGGGCAGGGGCACCACCAAACCTGGTGGGCATTGGGCATGGAGTCTCCTGCACAGGGCTAGAGTCTTTGTTGTGCCAATTTGGCCTTCGGGGATTGGGCATCCTGGGCCTCTTTCAGTCTCAGTTCCCAAAAGTAGATGTGGGTGTAGCAAGGGTGTCATAAATAATGAGTGAAGTCTCGGCATGGTACTGAGTGGGGCAGGTGCTGATCCACAACTCTGGACAATGGGTTGGGCCTGCTGGGCTCTGGTGGGGGTGGAGGGAAAACACAAGCCAGAGGGAGCTGATGCAGTCTGGCTCACTGTGCAGCTGATCTGGCGATGCTGGGGAGGACACCGAACTGTAGAGATGCCAGGTGAAGGGGTGGTCACATGATGAAGGGGACATAAAGAGACTCCCTTGGAGTCCAGGGTCATTCAACCCACTCTGGCTCCAGGCAGCTGACCTGTGGCATGTTGCCAACAGCACCAAGGGATGGGCCTAGAATCAAGTCCTTGGAGGGGGCCACATGCAAGTAGCCCATGCCCACCTAGCCCCAGGGTACGACCTGGAGTGCCTGACCAGAGGCACCTGGAGGTGGCAGTCCTGGTCCTGCCTGTCCAATGGGCCAGGCTTGGCCAGCCAGGCATTGTGCAGGGTCCGAGAAGGGCTGCAAGGCCAGCTCTGCCTCATCCTTGGTTGTGGGTCCTGGTCACTGGTCACAGTGCTGGGGTCTGGGGTTCAAGCCTTGGCAGCAGCTAGGACATATTTCCAAAGGAAGCTGTGGGGTAAATGCAGTTGAGGGAGGGGCAGGTCCCTGCCTCGTCCCAGGATGGTCTTCACACAGCCCCAGCCACCCTCCGGTGGTCAGGCCACCCAACCTGCACTCTCAGCCCAGCCCCCAGATCTCTGGCACTCCTGGCCTCTCCCACTGACCTTGGCTGAGCAGCTGCAGGCTCCGCCCCTCCTCACGCACCTGCAGGCGGAGCACCTGCTGTAGCACCTCCTGCCTCTGGGCCTCCTGTGCCAGCCCCATCCGCTGCAGCTTCTCTGCATTCAGCCTCAGCAGAGCCCGGCCTGGAGAGAGGGAAAGGTCCCAGTGGAGGCCAAAAAAGGTGTGAAGGGGCAAGGCAGAGACCAAGAGACAAAGGGGATCATGGGCAGTCTCAGATATGCAGAGACCCTTGGAGGGGAAAGCAGATGGAAAGACAAAGATGAGCAAAAGACAGAGGCCAGGCAGAGAAGCCCCAAGTGACGGGGCCGAGAGCCTGAGAGAGACAAACAGAGATACAGAAACAGCAAAAGCCCTTGAGGAGAGTGTGGACAGAGGGGCACAGGCAGAGGTGAAGACAGGCTGGCAGAGTGGGAGCAGGATCTGCTGGGCTTCCCTCCCAGCCCTTCCCGGCCCCTGCCCTGCACCAGCCACACCATACCAGTGATAGCGTGTTGGGAGAAGGCCTCGACGTAGACGAGGTAGTTGTGGGGACAGTGTCTCTTGAGCCACTTGCAGACATCCTGCTGGCTCCACAGGACTGCAGGCCGTGCCAGCCCACCCAGAGAGGGGCTCGTGTGGTACAGGCCACAGTGCTCAGAGTACAGCTGGCCCTGCAGGGGGGAAGGCTGGCAGGTAGCAGGAGGGCAGCGGAGCAGGTGGAGCGGGGGTAAGGTAGGCAGGGGAGTAGTACCTGGGGGGTCTCTGTGCCGGGCTGCTGCAGGAGCTTGACGGGCCTGCTGCTGGATCCTCTCTGGCTACGGGGGTCGTGCCATGTGAAGCTGGAACCCGGCATCCGAGGCAAGTGGCAAGGGATGCTCTCAGCCGACACTGTGTGCTCCAGGAGGGTCCGGCAGAAGCTGAAGTGGGCAGTGGCTGTGTGCCAGGTACTTGGTCAGGGCTGGCACACAAGCCGGACACACACATGATACCAGGCCAGGGCCATATGCACAGGATGTGTCTTTGACCGGAAAGGCCAGCTCCTCTGTCCTGGGATGCTCTCTGTGGCTGAGAGGACTGAGGCTGCTGCCTGCCTGTCACCACTGAAGGTGCTGTCTCGACAGCATACCTGATGTTTGTGGCCTGGTCCCTGCTTCACTTCATTAACCAACTATGACTCACTGACAGTAAGCCTGAGTTCTGGGCAAGCAGACAACTGGGACTCCCCAAACACATGCTGGGCTTTCCTGCTGCACTGGCCAGCAGGGCCTAGGCAGGACAGCACTATGTGATTGTGGGAGCCTGCTGCCGCCTGTGGGCCGTTCAGATCAGGTGAGTGCAGTGCAGCTACTTCCCACACCAACTTCCTTACATTCCTCATGTTTTAGTTTTTAGGTTTTTGGTTTTTTTTGGTTTTTTTGAAACAAGGTCTCTCTATGTAGCCTAGGCCAGCCACAAACTCACTCAATCCTCTTGCCTCAGTCTGCTGAGATTACAGGCATGTGCCAGCACACCTGGATTACCTCATCTTTTAGCTTTTTGGTCATTTCTTGGATGACTGATGACTCGAATGTGGGAAGGTCTAATGCTTGAGTGAGATCCTTCCCATCCAGGGTGTGATTGCTATAAGGCTTGCCCCCTGCTTGGAGTGCAGGAGGTACCCCACGAACCCCGTGAATGAATGTACGAGTGAATGGACACACAAATGAGATCTCGGTGTGGTGTCTGCAGATCAACAGAGCTTGTGGGGAGAAAGGAAAGTGGAGGTCACCACACATGCACTCATACTCACTCTTCCACAGTACCCAGGCAGGATGAGTCTGCAGGCAGGATGAAGTTCCCATGCCAGGACTCACGCCCACTTCATCCACCTGCTTAAGGGAACTTCCTTTCTAGTCAACCAGTCCCTCTCCACTCTCCACTCGGGCCAGTCCTTTGAGGTGTCCAAGAGGTCCGAGCAAGGGGGAAACCCGCGTTCTACTCCTCTGTGCTTCTGCGGGTAAGATCCCTGCGGCTCAGACTCCCGCCGCTTAGCATCCTCTCCCCCACTCTTGCAACTTCCAAACCGAACCCCAGGTGACTAAGTTTGCGGTTTAAGGTCAGGGAGAGTGTGACTAGTGGGCCACAGCCCTGAGGTAGCCTCTGGAGCACGGGAAAAGATTTACTCTAAATCCGCACCTTTCACAGGACCGGCACTGTGGTATGAGGGCTTCACAGGCCCTGGGCGGCTGGGGCAGGAGAGCCGCTCTGGGAAAACCAGTCGGCCGCCTTCTCCAGGGCACCTGCCAAGTCAGCGCCCATTTCCTGCGACACTCCAGGAGGGTCCGAGAGGGAAATGGGGTGGGGCGGCAGGTTCCAGCTGTGACCTCTGTCCTCGGTCCCCCACCCGCCCCAGTACCAGCGCTGCCTGGAGGAGTGACTCCAGTGTGCTGCCAGTCTGAAGACAAACGCCGGCGGGTCGTCTCCCACCCAAGCCAAAGGCACGCTGGTCCCCGAAGCCTGACGCTGGTCACCTGCCAAGCAGGACAAAGGCCACCGGACCTCAAGGGACCGGGATGTCCCCAGCCAGGACCGCCGCTGGAGCCCGCCGTGTCTCGCCTCCCCGAACCCCACCCCAGCCTGCTCACCGTCCACATCCCGGCTCTCCCCGAGGCCGTAGTGCACTGCCCCGGCGCGGCCCGGCGGGGGGCTCAGCTTGGCCCTCAGCTCGGTGAACATGGGGCCCGCGGTGCCGAGCCCGCGCACACGCCCCTCTCGAGCGGCGGGCGGCCCGTGTGGCCGGCAGGCGACTCGCGGTCGCCCCGCCCCGCTTGAGCCGGCCTCGGCGGCCCGCCGAGTCTGCGCGGCGAGGCACCTGCCGCCGAGCCGTGCGCGCCGAGCGCGCTCCAGGAGCTCCAGGAGCAGCGGCGGCGCGCAGGGCTGCGCGTGCAGAGGGGCCCCGCTCCGCCGCCGGGCTTCTTGCACCTGCCAAAGGCCGGCCAAGGCGGGCAAGCGAGGAGCTGTCGGTCCTCTCCGTGCTGGGGGTGGACGGGGGCACTCTACCCACCCGAGTCCGGGTCAGGGTCAGCCCACCCCTTCCCAAACACTGCCCTCTGCTATGCTGCATCGCGAATTCACTCATTCATTCTGTACAGGACGTTCTCCAGATCTCTCAGGTCTCTTCCGCAGATGGGCTCCTGCTTGTCTGGAGAAGCTTGGCCCCAGCTCACCCTCCACGACACCCTGAGCTCCCGGGCGGCGAACCCCCGCCCTGCGTAGCCCCTGAATCTGGCTCAGTGCCGGGGGCGGGGCTCGATGCTAAAAGAACCGAAAGGGGCTTGGCTGAGGATGGGGAGAGAACTCCAAGGCCGTAAGCAGGCAGGATCGAGGTGTTTGCTCCAGGCCGCTAGAAGTGCTGGGCGCGGGAGGGTGATTGCCTCCTCCAGCCAAAGGAAGGGCAGGCTGCAACCATCTGTGCCGCCTGCTCCGTCCCCAGTCTCTGTCCCCGGATATAGAGCGGGGTTGGCGGTGTCGGCGGTGTCCAGCACCAGAAGCACTGCTGTACACGGACTTTCAGAAATGCGCTCAAAGTGCAGTGGTACGCGCCCGCCCTGGTCGCAAGCACACGCCCCAGTGTGTACACAGGAGTCACACATTTGGGACGCCTGCCCAAGTACATCAGTGCTGCATTCGTCACAGCACCTCAGAGGGGCGGCATCCACACAGCGTTACGGTGCAGACGGGCGTGCGGAGCTCCACTGAGGGCTCGCATAGCCTGACAGATCAGAAGTGGGGAGGCCGTCTTGCGCGCCGGTGCCTGGCGGAGGACGGCCCTGACCCCTGTGCACAGGTCTCGGGTGCATGGGAGCTTTCTGGAGCAGCCACATCAAGGTCTGTGACCCCCCTAGAGCCCCCGGCACCGACCGCCTCGCCACAGGTCGGCGCTACAGTGCTTGTCCGAACGTCAGCCACAAGCCTTCCCAGTAACAGCGACCGGAAGTGCCGCAACTCGAACTTCCGTCGCGGCGTTCGGGTGGGCGGGGCTTCGTGCAGCCACAGCTTTGCTTCCGGGGCGCAGGTGACTCGAAGGCCGCGACGCTTCCGGCGGTACGTCGCGGAAGACTCCCGTTCTCTGTGCTGCGCGGCGGCTTGCCGGCCCCGCTCTGTCTGGATCGTCACCGCCGCTATGAACAAGAAGAAGAAACCGTTCCTGGGCATGCCCGCGCCGCTCGGCTATGTGCCGGGGCTGGGCCGCGGGTGAGGCCTGGGGCGGGGGGCAGCGCGGGCCACCGGGGCTCCCGGGAGGCGGCACGCGGAGGAGCGGGGATGGAAGGCGGGCCGAGCAGGGTGCATCTCTCTCTGGCTCCGCATCCTCCCACTCACGGCCGATCGACCCTGGAGCTAGGCGGTGCCAACAGCTGGAGGCGGCAGGACCGGGAGGGGAGAAAAGGACAATAATTAGGGTCCTTGGCCACTCGTCTGAAAGACGTCGAATGGTCGGCTTCATCCCTGTAGGACACAGACTTTGCAGTTAGAACATATCTGACTGAGTCCTGCCTGTAACCTAGGAGATGTGACACGGTCTCTGAGTCCACTGTTTTGGTGTCTAAAATGAGTAAAACCCACATGCAAGGTCGTTGGTGAGCACCAGAAGAGCCCCTGTTGTCTAGTGGGAACACATGGCTCTTCTTAGCTCACAGTTTTGTTTTTGGTTTTTTTTTTGTTGGCACCGGGGATCGAACTCGGGACCTTGTGCTTGCGAGACAGGCAACGGAACCTCTGAGCTAAATCCCCGGCAACACATGGCCCTTCTTTTGCCTTAAGTATGACAGATCTTTTTTCTATAGTATTTATTTATTTTGGGCTTTTTGAGAGAGGGCTTTGCTATTTAGTTTAGACTGGTCTTGACTCGCTGTGTAACCTAGGCAGGCCTCAACTCGAGGCAGTTCTCCTGCCTCAGCCTCTCGAGCACTAGCATTGCAGGCGTGCACCACCATACTTGGGTTGGCTCTCTCTTTATAGTATTGTCACCAGAGACCTACTGTTCAAATTCTCAGCACCCCTCCCCCTCCCATTGCATCCGGTAGGCTGGTGCCTGGGTGCCCAAGATTGTTACACAAATGACCACCAAAAGTCGTTGGATAAATGGGCAGTCAGCATCCTACTTGGTTATCCATTTGATTGGTGGTATTAGAAACTGCAGGGTACACCTGGAACTCATGTGTTTCACTATTTTCAGAGGCCTCTAGTTTACTAGGGAAGGTTCTGTGCCTGTGTAGGTAATATACATGCAGAGGGACAGATTTAGAACACGAGTTCCAGAGGTCAGGGAGCACTCGGTGGAGTGCAGTGTTAGAGCCACATTTGGAAAGAGGTGGTTTTGAGGGTTCCAAATGTGTCAGGAGTAAAGGAGAAACTTGACATTTTGTGTGCAGACAGTAAAAAGATAAGATTTAAGGGAAGACAAGGAAACAGCAAGAAGTCCAGAGTGAGTGGAATGTGCAGCAAGTGACAAGGGAGTTGTCAGAAGGCCTTGAGCATCAGGCTGAAGCTTCTGAAGGCTTTGGAGAGTTAATGATGCTAAAGAAAGCCCTAGCCAGAGACGTGTTTCGGAAAGTATCATCTGGCAGAGCAAAGGTTGAAGTGGGGGAAGATGAGAGATAGGAAGGGCTAACTCGATTACCAGCTGTGTTGGAAGTTATGGTCTTCAAAGGGACATTTGAAAGTAGAATCAGTAGTACTTTCTGGCAGATGGTGTCAAGAAGGTTGAAGAAGGAAGTAAAGATATGTGATGGCACCTGCCTGGTGCCTGGGATGGCACTGCTGTTAACAGGTAGAACAGCCCAAAAGGATGTAGAATGCATTAGAAGAGGAGCTCAGTTTGGGCCTGGTTGAATGTAGAGGGAGAGGCTCAGCAGGTTGTTGGAAATATGGGGCTGGAACCTGGGAGGAGGGAGGTATGAAGGCCTGGGTGATCATTTGGAGAAGTGGAAAAGCCTTGGAGTGGGGGTGGGACGTTGCCTGGATCCTACTGAGGATGGATTGAAGCATTTAGGTAGGCAGACATAATCAGTAATAGTGTATGACAGTGCAGTCCACTGGCACCAGAATCTTTGGAGGTTCCTAAAGTGTTAGAAAAAGAGATTATGACTGGGGTGGAGGAGAGCACACCAGAAGCAGGGTCACCCAGGTAAGAGGTATCTTGGGGCCTGCAGTGCCACTGGCTTCACTACCCGCTCAGACATTGGGCCTGCCCGGGATGCAAATGATCCTGTGGACGATCGCCATGCACCACCAGGCAAAAGAACCGTGGGGGACCAGATGAAGAAAAACCAGGCTGCTGATGATGATGATGAGGATCTGAATGACACCAACTATGATGAGGTGATTTTTGTTGGGCTTCTGTGGGTACTTCTGACAGTCTCCAGAAGGGCATAGGGAACAGTAAAAATCTAAAGAAATGAGCACTTAAATTCTCCTCAAGAGAGCTGTATTTGTAGCATGGGGTGCCACATCACGGTTTTACGTTGGCTGGTCTCTAATGATGGTGGTGATGCTTGCTTTAGCTTTGGTGTTTGCCTTCTTAGTTCACTGATTTAGTCAGACAAAGTTTTCTTTAGGTGTCTTCTAACAGATGATATCTTTCCTCTAAGGAAAAAAAAGTTATGTCTTTTTTGGTACGTGGGATTGGACCAGAGGCCCTTTGCACTGAATTATATCCCCAGTACCCCCCTTTTTTTGGAGACAGGGTTTCACTATGTAGTTTGGGCTGGTCTTGAACTCACTATGTAGCCTAGGCTGGCCTTGAACTCACAATGATCCTCCTACTTCAGCTTCCCAAGTGCTAGGATCACAGGCATGTGTCACCATGCCTGGCTCACACTTTTATTTTTTTATTTTGAAACGGTCTCGCTGAGTTGTCCAGGCTGGGCTTGAATTTGTAATCCTCCTGCGTCAGCCTCACGGAGTTCTGGGATTGTAGGCTTGCACCACCATGCCTTGCCAGGAAAAAGTGTTTTACAGAATTTTAATTTTGAAATGGTTTTTAACTTGCAAAATAGTACCAACAAAAGTTCAGAAAAAAAAGAGTTCCTGCATACCTTTTTCCAAGCTTCCCCCCATCTTACATGACCTTAGTACAGTTATCAAAATCTGGAAAGAATGGTTGACACCATGTTGTTAATTTATTATAGATGTTTTTTCTAGCACTGAGATTGAATTTAGGAGCTTGTGTATGCTAGCCAAACATTCAAGTACTGAGCTACATCTCCAACCGTTTTTATTTTTTGAGACAGGGTCTTCCCTGAGTTGCTTAGGCTGGGCTTGAACTTGCAGCCTTCCCAAATAGCTGGAATACCAGGCATGCATCACCGAGCCTGGCTTCATCTATGGTTCTTATTTGAATTTTACAGTGTTTCTGTGAATGTCCTTTTTCAGGCACAGGACACAGCCCAGAATTCTCCATCAAGTTTTGTCTTGTTTCCTAGTCCTTTCCGACAAGATGGTTCCTCTCTTTTCAGGGGAAGGGGTGTACCAGGAATTGAACTCAGGGTCTTGCACTTGCCAGGCAGGGGGTGCCTTACAGGTGAGCCACCCCCTCCC